ATGACATCTTGGCAGGGAGATTCCTACAGAAGCTAGTATCTAGACTGAGTACATGAATAATGCATTTATTCCCCATAAAAGCAAAAAATGTTAATTTTAAGAACAAGTGATCTCTATTTCACTTCATTGAACCAGACCACAATGAAATATTTTAAAACTCCTAGCCGATCATTCACAAAAAATTTCAGAACTTGCCTACACTAGCTTTCCTATCACCACTGAAACTGCATTTGTTCTCAGGAGGCCATAAAGTTTTTAAAGAATTGTGTGGCGATCCTAAATAAAGGAAATCTCACTTTAAGAAGACAAGCTAAAAATCTAATAGAAATCCTCTGTATAAGCTGCAGACTCCTCTCCTCACGCACTGAGCAGGCTTGGCACAGCGTCCAGGCATGGCCAGCTCTCTGCTGGGGGCAACGTTCTTGGCTGTGAAGGCAGAGCATGCCCTCTGTCACTCATGGCGAGCAGTCCTGTCCAACTGTCTCTTTTCGACAACTTTATCATCAATCTCTTTATTAACAGCTCCACTGCAGACTGAGAACGCAAACAAGGACAGTGCGCATGCCAGATTTCTGGAAGGCACACAGCATCAGACACCATACAGGGCAAGGTTTCAGGAAAGCTGAAGCAGAAGCTGTAGCGCAAAACTCTTATGTGCCATTGTAAGAAATATCGTGTTTCCCGTGTTTATGTAGAATCCAACTTCTAACTGGGGAGAGGCAAAGAGAGGGGGGTGTGGGGGGAAATTATTCCTCAAATGTCAAGGATCCCCCCTCGCGTCCAGCTTTAACACCATTTGAAATGCCTGATCAATGAAGGGTATGTGACCTAACATTCAACTTCAATAATTTTATCTGCTTTAGGTTAGCATATTACCCTAACAGAAGTAAACATCACAGAAATAATCTCAGATAAACTGAAAAGTTTGAATTGATGTGTAGATTTTAAGCATGCAAAACATTTACTTAAGTAGACTTATTGAGGAAATTTACTTTTAAAAATACAAACATAAAACATTCATAAAGTAGATGGGCTAGCTCGCAAATAAGACAGACAAAAAGACATTTGCACTTGTAAGCTGTCTTGTAATCTGTGTGGGCCAGTTATTATGGGGCAGTTTAAATGCATTGGCCATTTCCTTAGTTTAAATAAATAAATGCAGCTTTCCCTACTCAACAAGTTGGGGTTTTATCACCTTACATCAATAGTAATCTTCCTCTTTATCCTTTCCCATTACTTGCCTGGATTCTGGCTCTTATTTAAAGACAGTAATTTACTGCAAAACCCAAGCTTGATAATATCTGCATATACCATTAAACAGTTTTTTTTCTAACCATTAGTATGCTGTTAAATTTGACGTTTTCTAAATTCATTATCTTTAGAGTTTATGAGATAAAAATTTAATAAAGTGTGTAGGACATTGTCATTCTTAGCTTATTTTAAGCACTCCACTAGAATACAGAGGTCATAAAAATACTGAGGTCATTAAAAAAAACCAGACATGCTGAATAGGAGCAGTGATCTGGTTAATTTGTTAAGTGTGGGAGGAAGAAAAAAAAAATGAAGTTACCTAAAGACAGAAAGATAGCATTTCAGAATTTAGTCAGAACTCCACAAATATGCCTAAACTTTATTAAAAAAACACTGGAGTTTAAAAAACCAAAAAGCAGATGGGATATCCAGCAGTGGTTCATTGTATTAGCTTTTTCATAATAAAACATGCCCTCTGAAGTTTGATATCAAAGTTTGCATTTGGTTGGTGAAGATAGCAGCAGATGTTTGATGTTTGTAGATATTTCAACTTATTAGTTTGAACTTTGTAGACGTATCAAACTGCATCTGCCTCTATCAACAAATCCAAGATGGTTTGTTTCTATTGAACAGATCCTTAATTCTACTAAGATTATTAAAGTAAACTAAAAATTATTTATTACTGACATTTTTCCACTAGAAACATTGGATCTTTAAAAAAGTGAACCTACCTAGTACTCAGCTAATATATGTGTATACAGACATTCATGACTGTATGATCAAGACCTGCAAATTTTTAAGTGACAAAATTTTTGGTAAGTATTGTTCAGCCACAAAGATGCCAAAGAGAGATCAAGCATAGCAAAGCTACTCAATTAGTATGTTTATGAAGTTACATAAATGACGCCAGGATCACTTCAACATATGAAATGACTTTTGTAGAAATGCACACAACCTCAGAAAAAAAAAGTATTATGAGAAAACAAACATACTCTGCTTCCTCAGCAACCTCCACAGTAGTTTTTCTTGCATTTAAGTATAGATTCTGGCTCAGTAGTATCTAGTGTGTTCTTCCTATACTGAATTATTTTTGGTTCTTCTAGAAGGTGAAGAACTCGGTTTTAACTGTTATTGTTGACTAAAATTGGTTCTCTCATTAAGGTACATTTACTATCAATGGATATTCATTACTACTCAGTTACTATATACTTGTAGCTACAAGTTTAAAGATTTTGCAGTTAAAAAAAGAAAAAAAAGAAATGCGCTAAGAAATGGCATGCACACATACCACCTACAGCAAGGAACCACAACTTTAGCTAGAACTCAACTCAAATGTCTGATTCAAATCAGTATGTCTAAAGCCATCTGTTAGAGCCATGGCTTATTAATGTTAATTATTTTGGCTACAACAGTAATTTTCAGCTTCTTGTTTGCAGATCCTTATGAGTCCGTGAACTTACTTCTGGAGGTTCATGATGGGTAATTCAGGAAAAACAAGCCTATTGAAGCCTATTGCCAGTAGATTGAGAAACACTGAACAGAAATTTGTATATCTACTAGCAGATTTTTATTGGTTGGAGAAAAATAAGAGGAACTAAAGCCATAAATAACATCAGCTGTGATGAAAGGGAGATGGGGTGGGCAAGATATAAAGAAGATGAATCTGTTCTAAACAAGACAAGCAACTGCATGCTGTGAAAAATACATACAACACAAAGGTTTATTGTTTTAGGCAGGGTAATTATAATATGAAGACCATAATCATCAGTGGTTTTAGCAGTTAGAGAAATTTTAGTCAAAAGGAGGCTACTTATTAAAGTTACTCACATCAAGCATTTGGAGGATTGGGCTCATGCTGATACAAAGATCAATCAAGTGATGCACAGCTACTTGTAATTTTTACTTTTATTTCAGGGCAAGCTTAAAGTATTTGACAAGAAGAGAAACAGTGCCATCTGCTGACATAAGAAATAGTCACGCACAAGAAAAGCAAGCATAAGATGCCAAAACTGTTACAGCTAATATTTTTTAAAAATGGAGTTCAAACTTCTAAAGAAAATAGTACAGCCCCAAATTGTTTATGCACATAATTCTTCTATTTTTGTCAGCTTTTAAGAATTTAAGATTTTGAGATGGACTCCTAATCAGGAGACAAGGAATGGATGCTCATAAAATGTTTGGGTGTTTTGTTTTTGTGGGGGGGGGGGGGGGGGGGGGGGAGGAAAAAAACCGCTGCCCCCACCAAGCCACTGCACAACCCACAACCTTTGCCTTTAACAGACTGGAACTCAACATCCTGCTGAGAGTTAATTCCACTTCCTATATCTAACATCATGCTTATTTGGAGAACATTCATTTATGTACTATTTCTTCTAGGCCACACCATATTTTGTCTTAGCAGAAAATCTAAGAGCTAAGTATGAATTAAGAGAGTAAAATCAACTTTGTACATTCAGAAAAATCAGACAACTATGGGATTGTGCTGTTTTTTATTGTGTTTTCAATGGAGAAATACATCATCTGTTTACAAAATAGCTCTTGAAAAATACAAGGAGTACAGATACTATAAAACAAAGCAAACTCCAGTCATGAGACACTACGTACATCATGCGAAAGCAACAGTCTGATCTCCAGGTTATGAAAACTAGAATTAAAAAGTCACTATACAGAAAGGTTCCAAGTTCCCAGCTTGGCAAAACTTGGGTGCAGTTACATGAAACGTTTAATAAAATGAAAAAAATTTTCCGATGTGTAAACAAAATGACAAGACTAAATTTGTGCCTGGCAATTTCGATCTAAACTCCATAGCTACACAAAATACACAGACACCTTGTACACTTCAACTGTTAATATAACCTTCTTTGGGGGGTGGATGACAGCAGGCTGCACAGGGCAAGGAAAAGAGAAATATTGTATACTAGACATCTTAGACAAATGGCAAAAAAACCCTTCAGTTACTGCACAGCCTAAGTAAAAGATAAGCTACACTCTGACTTCGGAGAATTAATTTAGAAGGATAAGGGGAAGAGTGTAAGTAATTTAATTTTAACATGAAAGATGCACATGTAATAGGATGGAGCACAATGGGAGAAGGGAGTTCATAAAACATGCTAATCAAAGTATGGGAAGTATGATTTGACATCCCACATATTTCAGACTTAAGTAATAGTAACATGAAGTTTGTTATCTACATCTGGTACTACTGTTGGTAACCCTCATGTTCCTCAAATACTGCTGTTCTTTGCCATGAGAGATTCAGTTATTTAAAAAGAAAAAGTTGTAACTTTTCTGATAGGACTACAAGAACAAAAAAATAGGAGTAAGAGAGCTTACTAGATGTCAAGTGCTTACTAGAAATGTGATTTTTAAAAATTCGGTGTTGTTCAGTATGTAAAACTATTTCTGATGAGCCATCTAAAAATAAAAAGGTTAAAATTCTTAGGGAAAAATCTTTTTGCCTTTATTTAAAATTTGAAGCTTTTTAACGCATACAGGACTTTTACGGAGTGTACAAAAATCATCTTATATTTAGTGATTCAAAGGCCATCAAGACAGGTGTTATATTTCACAGGCACGCAATATTTACTTAAACACTTTAGTCATGGGACAAAATTTTTAATTTGTGCCTATAGGCCACAAGGTATTATGATTAGGTAAGGGTTGGGGGGGGGCGCCAAATGAGTACATGGCTTGTTTTTATTTTGTATAAATAACTATTGTCCTATATGGTGCATACAAGCTGGAAAAAAAAAAAAACAACCAACCACAAAAACCCCCACCAAAACCCCAACGTTAAATGCAAAAGCTTTTCCCATGAAATAAAGGGATCAAAAAGGGAATAAGGGGTTTGATTAGCTCAAAGGAAAGTTTATTTGCTGTTTGATTGCTGATCTGTATGCACCTTAAAACAATCCTATAAATAAAAGTAGACCACGTCTTAAACATGTCCCACCAATACCAAAACTTCCCAATTACTTCCTCAACTTATGTCTTATAACCTCAAGATTTGACATTTCATTTTACAGGCTTACTGCTGCTTGATGGCAGTTGAACTAGATGTACTATACACTTTGTTTTCAATGTATAGTATATCATAGAACGTCATCCAATTTGCAGATTACTACTATTGAAGAGGTTCTTCAATAAAACAAAAGTGTATCAGCTGAAGATCTAAAATTAGTCATACTCCAATAAAAAAAAAGTACATAAAAGTGCATTTAAGGGATTCTTATGCCAGTTTTATCTCAATTTTGAAACAATGCATCAAACAAATTCAATCAGAATGTCAAATATGGCTACAAATAGTGTTTATGTTTTTAAAGGCAGTAATCCTTCGAAATATTTAATGCAACTGTTGCTAACACATTAATTGTACTCCTGGCTTCACATACTAACCTGGACTTCCAATCAAATGGTGATTTTAGCCCAGAAAGGGAAGTGCACAAAATATACCTAAATCCATTTGCAATTATGTTCTAGTCTTGCACCCTCCGTTCTCCTTTTTTTCTAGCATTAGAAGACAACAGGTTGAGTTGGCAGATACTGTTTATGGACCCCTGAGGTTGTTTTTACCGGTTCAATCTCAATTTTATTGAATTCTTGATAACAGGAATAGGATTTGCAGGGAGAGCAGGGATATCTGAAAGGTCTGTACTGGGTGTTTTCTGAAAAGAAAAGAAAAAGCGTTATTGTATTTTAACTTTGTAAATATCAAAAGAAAAATTCTGTAGTAATTGACACTAATTTTCACAACCAAGATCTTTAGAAAAGTTTTTAGGAATATACCAAGATAAGGATAATTACAAATTATAAATATAGGAGCAGATTTTTCTTTGCCTACACAGTCATTATTAAGGAAAATTTGTGCAAGAGTATTTCATAGTGTGCATTTCCCTTTTTGACAACTGCAAGACATTAGGAAGTGCTGCAGATAAAGCTGAGCCTACTAATAACCTGTATTATAATACAACATAATATCCACATAATACAGGTGCTTGATCAGTGACATCTACTATCGGATCTACATGTTTAGTATTTAAAAATTCCTTTGAACAATTCAGTGTTAAGCCTTAGCCCCTTACAGATGAATGATGAAAACCTGTCCCCAATGCAAAGTATGTGTCTTCATACATTCACACTTCAGACAGTTTAAAAGCTCTTTACAGCAAAGTTACCAACTTTTCATATTGGTTTAGATATACATGGAAAAGGTATGATGAACTCTAAAACAGTGCTATATGACTGGGTTAAGAATTTCATCCTGAAAATAATCTGAACACTTTTTTCTCACTTAAAAAGACTTAAACCCCATTCAGCAAAATTATATCTAAAGCCAAATAAAGGAAAACACAGAAAAGGAACACTCTCAAGATTCAGTGTGATTCATTCATTTCTCACATGCTTAACAAGCTTCTATTGTTGGTTTGGTTTTGTTTGGTATTTTGGGGTTGGTTTTTTTTAAGTATTTCTCTTCCACTGCAGCAGATTATTTGCCATCCCAATAACCCAGCTATTATGCATTACTTCTGATGATTTATCATAAAATGCTTTCTTATGCTATAAATGTTCAAAATTAATATAAGGTACATTTGATACATGGGAAAGACTGCACAAAAATGACTGCTCTTAATTGTTGTTTTATTAAAAAGAAATCAATCGAGTTAACACTGACTGATATGGTACCAAAGCACATTGCAACAAGGACTCAGGGCAAAACAGCTTTGACTTCCCGCCTCCCCCCTACCCCCAGTAGACCACTCTGTTTGGTGCTGACCTGCAGTTTAACACGTTTCCATTTTCTGCAACATGAGCAGTGTTTTAAACACAGCCAACAAGAATACTGAAAAATGACAGAAGAGGCCCACCATTCTTTTGCAGTTTCCAGACTACTGTTGGTAAAATAACAACTACACAATTTGTAAAAGCTACAAAGCTTTATCATTCCTCAACAACAGGCGAAATACACTTGGTGTAATAAGTGACCTAAAAAATTTCCCTGAGGCAGTTTAGAGTGCCCATGTAACAACTAAAGTTTTTGCCAAACAATTTTGGTACCTTTATTCAGTACTGCTCATATAGTTTAAAAAGTCTGATAACAAATACCTTTAATACTATTGCAATATATATCCTTTTTCAATCAATACATTGACTACACATCATTTAATGAGTAAAGTGTGCATAAAATGCTTTGGGATAGTGAAACTTTAATCAGTAGTGCACTAAGAGAAGCTTAAAAATGCTAGCAAAGACAAAGATGCGTTCTCTAAAAGTTGTTACAATATTAGGAACAAAAATTTAAGTGAATGCCACAGAATTCTTAATGTCTATTTTTCCAATCCTCCTTACACTTACAATACCTGCAGTGAAGCAACACAGCTGGCTAATGAATTATAACATTACAAGTTCTCTCTTATACCAAATATCAGAATTTGAAGTTACATTTCAGACATTCTCAACCTCTACCAGGATATTTTTGAACAGCAGCTATTTAAAGCATTTGTTTCCTTGTTAGAAAGGATTATTCTGTGATGTGCAAAGCACAAAGGAATAAACCAAGCCCCTTACTTTGAAGGCACAATTCAGAAGAGCGAATCCAGCTTCGGTCAGTTTGTATGGCAAGCCATACATGTTTAGCTACAATGCACATTCAATAAGATCAATGACCATCTAAAACACAAAAATTGTGACAGTAACAACAAGCAGCTTTCCATACAATGGATTCATATTAAAAATTATACAGTTATTTTTAACATCTGGACTCATTTTAATTTCAATGTTTTCACCGCAGATTAGCGCACACAGAGAAGTGTTGTTTTTAAAAACAGTACCTGAGGAGCTTGCAGAGAAGTTGTCTGAAGAGTTTCTGTTTGAGAATTAACATTCACTTCTGTCTCAAGTTGCTCCTAAAAACACAAAGGCAGTTACACCTCTTCCAATTATAAAAGCTATTTATACAGAACTCCATTAACCGGAATGCCTTTAAGTTGTTCATATACAGCAAAAGAAAAAAGGCAAGTATAGGTACTTGCTGTACCTATACCCATCCTTTTATAATACAGAAATCACCACACTAGAGAATGTTTTGCTGATTAGGAATTTGACAAGCTACATCATTTCTCAGTTGGCCTTGTTTAAGCACTTAACATCTTTTATACAGAATCCTATAGGAAAACACTACATGTCATTTAACTCATTAAATACAAAAAGCATAGTATCAAGGAAGACCACGTGAAAAGCTACTGAATTTGTTGCAAATTCAACTGCTTTTCCACTCTTTTTGTCATTCTGCCAGAAAAGTTTTCCTGCTACTTTAAAGGGTTGAATCAGCTTTCTGGATGAACAGGTGAATGTGAGAGCCAGTTTTTCAGGTAAAACAATGGGACTGCACGGCTAAAGCAGGACAGTGGCATGTTCTCATTTTAATGAAAACAGCCTGTTAGTTAAAATTGTACCATGTAGTAAACAAAAAGGCATGCATTTCAATAGAGAAAAACCTATGTTTATGTTAAAGAAGTTTATTCCTCCATTTCCTTCCATGCATATTAAGGATGTAAGAGTTAGAGGAGACTGACAATAAAAGCTAACAGGATTACCTACGTGTTTTTTGTAATGATATGTATCCAAAGGACCTATTTTCAATGTTAGGATTAAATGCTTTTTTTAAATGCACTTCTGCTTTCACCTGTCTTGAGTTCAAAGAGATTTCAAGGTGACTACATAACAAGATACAATTCCTCACTTAAGGGTGTGGAAACTATAAGCCAAAGCACTTAAAGATTTTAATAGATATTTTAATTTCCTGGCATATTTTCCAGAGTATTCTAAGGACAACAGAACATACCCTATAAAAACAGTATACACCCAAGTGGAAAGCAGCTATCGTAAGGCTAAAGACAGACTGTTAGCCTTTCTGTTCACCAATAAGCAGAAAAATTGTCTGCTAAATTACAAGATAGTAGAGGGGCATGCTTGAATCTCTAGAAGTCCCCAAAAGGTAAGCTCTAACTTCATACAATAATTTCACTACCAGAAAAAATTTATTTGCAATCATTTGAAATTTTTTTTATCTAAAAAGTGAACAAGGTAGCACCTGGCTTCGGGATTCTCAACCCAACATGCAAAAATCCCAATGGAATACATAGGACAACTGTTCTTTAACTAAGTAACATACATCGAGTTTGGGATGCAAGCAAAGCAAGGCATATAGACACATCCCCAATCTAACAAATTTAAATATCATCATTAATTTTTTCACCATGCATAATACTGTGTGAATGACCAGCAAAGAAATCACTGTCCTATGTGACCATGGACTCAGGCTCAGCTTAGCCTGGCAGCAGGTAATGTACTGAAATTCATTAATATTGACATATACATTGAAAAAAAATAATGTATCATTTTGATACCTTTCCTGGAGAGTCTATACTATATCTACAAAGACTCTTAGTCATTCCTAGAGGGAAACACAGTAATTTTCACAAGAAAGATCCCGATTAATAAACACAAAATTGCATGGTCTAGGCATAGATACCTTAGTTTCCATTTTTTCATGCTCATTCAAATCTATACAGCTAGTATCTTCACTTATTTCATCCTGCTGAAATGCAAACAAACCCAGAAACTATTAAAAATCATAAAAACATTTAAAAAAAAAACAACAAGAAAGTAAGGTTGTACAATGTTTTTGAAGACAATTAGTTGTAAGACTTCACGTGTTATACTCCAACAAAAAAACTGCTTTTAAGAATTTAGAATCTAAGCATTTGTGCTAATGCAGTACATATGTCACATGATGAATATCAGCATAATAAAAAAAACACTAACACCTAAGCAAGCTGAATCCATAAAGCAGCAATGCAGTCAGAGTAGGAAATATACACCCCATTTAACAAAATATTTGAAACCTGGAATATGAGAATCAGCACTTTGCAGCTGAAATGAATATTCGAAGTTTTGAACATTGCTATAGTATGATCTCGAAATCTCAAATACCTCTTCAATTTTCATTTTCTTGGGAGACTCTTCTTTATGGGGAGAAGATGTCCTTTTCACTGCTGTGACAGGGCTAGGCATTTTTGTTGCAACATTTCCTGAAGTTCTTGGTGATGGATTTAATAGATACGCTGAGGAAACGATTCTAGAGATGGTAGGCTTTGGTGGTGGAGAAATGGCTGGTTGTGTGGCAGTTTGAGGAATGCTTTCATTTGAAGTACCTATGGATAAATAATGTAAAAAGCTTCAACAAGAAGAGCTGACACAACCACTTCAGTTCAATCACTGGTATTTTTGGTCTGTAGTTAAAACTATTGCTATCAAGTAGGCATCAATGAAGTGGCACAGTTAGTGGTATGAGCATCACATTTGGAACAGCAGGTGTGCATACACAGCACAGTTTAGTTTCAAGCTTGTTCTGAGGCCAAATTCCTGTACCAGATACAGGGTAGCCGTGTCAGAGACACTCTGCTTGGTCTAATTAACCCTGCTTAACAGCAGGATATCCTAGCCCAGACAGAGCTCTGTACTAATATAGCTATATTATTCTTGGTACCTAAAGAAGTTTTACTGTTTCTATACTCAGCCATATACATGCACTGCCAAAGACTGCCTTAAATCAAAACCAAGAGCAATCTCATACTCCCTTTACTCACTCAAACATGAAGTTTATAATTTCTCAGGCTCAGAGTACGCAATGACAGATATGAAGTCATCACAGAGCATCAGATAAAAATCTGACATTGCATAGATCCTTTTGAAAAATGCTCTGTATGACAAAGCTCTACCTCATCAATCGCCTACCTCAAACCAGTAAGCACATACAGGGAGATGCTCCAGGATGAGAAAAATGACACTGCAGAAATTTTCCATTAGTAACTATCAGGTGACTGCTTTTGATTAACCAAAATACAAGAAGGAACAACTTCTGATATGCTTCCAAATCGAAAAAAGTCATGCCATTTAAGGTCCACTTAGCACTCATCAACAAGCTTACTCTCGTTGATGCGCCTGTGACATGATAAAAAAATCAGAGAACACTAAGACTCCACTGTCCCACGTCAGAGCAAAGCAAGGCTAACCAGTTGGTCCCCTCTTCCATCTATTTCTGACTTGCTCCTTGTATTCAGCTAAAGTTCCATCAAAAAAGAGGAGTAGCCGACTCTGCTAAGTGAACATTTTCACCAGATGCCTTTGGTCTTTCACTAAAAAGTCAATTTTTTTTAATTTTGGGTTTGTTTTTTTTTAAGTATTAAGTGAAGTGTACTTTTTCTTGTAGAAAACATGGAGGATAAAGTCAACATACACAGTGGGACATACTTGAAGTGATGTCAGTAAGGAGCATATGTTCTGCTGACATCTGAGTATTTTTCACTCCTAGAATCAATTTCATGAAGCACAAGGAGCAGGAACATGGGAGCACAGCTTACAGACAGTACAGAATCACCTTTTGGTTTTAACCAGAAATGGATTAAAAATAAATACAAAAATTGCTCTTCCAGCTTTAGTTAGATTTTCCTCACTTGACCGACTGAACTACAGACCTGCGTCAGGTCATTGGAAAACTATTGCTATTGTGAATGGCAAATACAAATCCCCAGGAATAAAAGAATAAATAAATATCGCACCACAAAATATTCCACTATGATTTCCCAAGTCCTGAAGAAATTAGTTAAATATGTGTATCAAGGAGAACAGGTTACAGCATGTGTTAAGTAAAGACCTCAAACTGGAAGAAAAACTGTTTTATAAAAGTTACAAAAGAATCAATAGAAGCAATATACTATGTCATTTTCCTTACCCCCTGAGCTTTCACTGGAATTTATTTGTGGCACAGTGACTTCAGAAGCCTGTATGTTGGTCACAGATGCTGCTGTTACAGCTGGCGCAGGACTGCTTCTGCTAAAAAGAGAAAAATGACGAAACGGTGAACATTATAGTAAAGCTATGGTGCTATATGATCAGCCTTTCATCACATTATATGCGTGGCCACTAACCATAGCTGATAGGATTTTACCTACATTACAGAGCAGATCACAGCAGAAGACAGAAATGAGTGTTGGCAATCTACTATCAAACTTGAGCAATGGAAGCTATTTCAAATATTCAATCTGAATATTTTAGAGACAGTTTTTTACACCAGTAAGAAGTTGCATTTAAAAAAGGAAAAAATTAAGGCAATGTCTGCCCAAATAAGGTGCAGGGAAAAACAGAGCAAGTATTTTCCTGAAAAATGGAACAAAACCGGTATAGAAGGCCTAGAATAGAAAGTTTGTTTTCGATCTACACACACCATTACAACTGATTTCAATCTGGAATTCCCAAGCAAAGGCCTGGGAATTCACATGACAAAAAAATTGGTTTTTTTCATTTTCAAGAAACAAGGAAGCATTACATGTCTAAAATCAACACAGGGAGATTTCCATTTCAATTGTGACATCCTAGATATAGACTTGTTTTAACAGCATGGTCAGTGGCACCAACTATTGGAAATCATTTACCAAGGAATTCTAACTAAAAGAGCACTTGTTAGAAGGAGTAAGTTTAGTGAACTTAAGTATGTTATTGTGGAGGGTTGACCCTGGCTGGACGCCAGGTACCCACCAAAGCCGTTCTATCACTCCCCCTCCTCAGCTGGACAGGGGAGAGAAAATATAACAAAGAGCTTGTTGGTTGAGATAAGGACAGGAGAGATCACTCACCAATTACCGTCATGGGCAAAACAGACTCAGCTTGAGGAAAATTAACTCAATTTATTACAAATCAACCAGAGTAGGGTAATGAGAAATAAAACCAAAGCTCAGAACACCTTCCCTCCACCCCTCCCTTCTTCCTGGGCACAACTTCACTCCCGGATTCTCCACCAACCCCCCCCAGCAGCGCAGGGGGATGGGGAATGGGGTTTACGGTCAGTTCATCACACGTTATTTTCTGCTGCTTCATCCTCCTCAGGGGCAGGACTCATCACTCTTCCACTGCTCCAGCGCAGGGTCCCTCCCACGGGAGACAGTCCTCCACGAACTTCTCCAATGTGGGTCATTCCCACGGGCTGCAGTTCTTCACAAACTGCTCCAGCATGGGTCCTTTCCACGGTGTGCAGTCCTTCAGGAGTACACTGCTCCAGTGTGGGTCCCCCACGG